TGTAGCTGGAGAACTTAAATCTTACTCATCAGCCTGTTGAATTGTACCCTTCTCAGAGACACAGATACCATCCAAAATTTTTCTTATATCCTAACTATTGTGGCTTGCTGTATCAAAGCAGCTGAATTTGAAATAAATTCAATATTGCTGCCTTTAAGGACCAACTCATCTTTCTGGGCTTGAGACACTGAACAAGCAACACTTGGTCTCATTCGAACCCTCTGGATGTATTTTTCACCCCCAAAATTTCAGATTTCAACAAGAGACCCATTCTCCTGGATAATGATGTTGATGGGGAAATGAGCATACACAGACCTCATCTTGTAGCAGAAGCCCAATGTAACACCCTTGATCACACTCTGGACATGACTACAGATAATGTGGCCTGTAGCCAGTTCCTTTCTGGTTCCCCACCACTTGTCAACCCACAGCCTCTTTTTCTTTCCAAGGAGACTAAGCTTGACATTGATGTGATAGAAGTTCCTCCACAGGGTTCCTCCAAGGCCCTTCACAGTAATTGCGTCCCTCCAGAGTCCCTTCAGATTGATGTTGAATGTCAATGGTCTGATTGCTGAGAAAGAGCTCCATCACTTCATTTTTAACAGCAAAAATCTTGAAAGTATAGAATTCCTTTGCTAACACAGTAAACTGTAGATTTTCTGGAGCTACTAATAGCTGTCTTTGGTGTATACTGGTAACTGAATACTTCAGGATAAATAATGAAGTCACATTAGGAAGCCCTTCTCATTTACAAAATTTCCTCTTAAACTGCACCAAGTATTGGTCGCCTGATTTTGTTGAGTAACAAGGTCCAAACAAAACCCAGCAATCTCTTCTTCTCCGTTGAATTTGCTGTATTTATTGCTTCTATTTGCCCAGGTGGGGATGCTGGATTTTATTACCTTTCGCTGGACAACTGATAACAAAAGGAATTTAAAGGTAAAATCTCTTGTGATTTATGGATAATCAAGTTACCATTATTTTGGAATTTCAGAATGAATGTATTAAACATTATATTCTCGGGACCAGCAGTTGGCATAATGGCTATGTTGCTGGATTCCCATGTAGTCGACTGCGGTTCGGGTCCCAGACCCAGTAACCTGACACTGGGTGCGTGTGTGTGCGTGCTCAAGATCCCGAAAGGAGAATGGAAGAGAAGCCTGGCCATCCCCCCTGGGGGGGTGATTTCTCGCTTTCGGTCTCTCTGTTTCTCTCTTTCTTTCTGGCTAGTGCATGTACCCTATCGCAAAAACCTCTCCACAAACAAACAAAAACTACACACAAAAAAGGGGAACATATTGTTGGGCCAGCAGGTGGCAAGGGGTTAATGATGCTGAACACTCACACAGCCAACTGAGGTTTGAGTCCTGGACCTGCAGCTTGCTTTCTCACTTTCTCTGTCTCTTCCCACAGCCCCCACCTTGGGGCAAATTGAAAGGAAGGAAGGAAGGAAGGTAGGTAGGTAGGTAGGTCGGTCTTTAAGTCCTTAGAATGACAACTTAACTCTTAGGTATCTTCTTCAATAAGTGAATAAGTAAAATTAAGTACTCTTATAGAACAAGAAAGTACTCTTATGGAAGCATTCTTATAGAACATGGAAAGGAAGTACTATGAACATCTTTCTTCCCTCCTACATTTATTGACTCCCTGGGATACCCCAGACATCTTCTTCCTCTTACATTGCTTTGTTTTAGTACATAAACTTGAAGTTCAGATAGGTTTGTTGGGACTGGCCCTATACTGCAGTCGTTAAGTACTTTGCAGTGGGAGCCCAATTCCACATGGCCAACTGTGGTTCAAGTCCCAGCCCCAATAGCTTGAGAAACACACTGGGCATGTGTGTGGGAGCTACAAATTCTAAGAGGATGGACAAATGGAGGAAAAAAGGACTGTAATGTGACTGTGCCCCACTGGGTGTGTTCATATTCTCTGGGGCATATACATGCCTTTTGGCAATTAAAAAAATGGTTTTGGGGTGAGTGGTAGCACAGTGGTAATGTGCATACCCTTTGGCAAAAATTAAAATATTTATGTATTCTTATTGAATACATGGTGGTTTAAATTCTTCAAAATATCTTGGTCCAGATTCAGGAGTATAAACTTTATTGGGTATTGTGGATAGAACTGTGCGTCCCCTCATTCCAAAAGATATGTTGAAGTCTTATTCCCTCCTACTCATGAATGTGACTTTATTTGGAAATAGAGCTCTTGCAAATAAGAACCCTATTATTTAAGATGAGGTAATACTGGATTAGGGTGGACACTAAATCCAGTGATTGGTGTCTTTATTTTTTAAATAGATTTTTGCCATAGGACATGTGCATGCGCCAGAAAGACAGAGAAAGGGAGAGTGAGAAATCACTTCCCAGGGGGACGGCCAGGCCGAAATCCCTTCTCCTCTGGTCTCTTTTCAAGATTGTAGGCATGCACACATGCACACGTGCCCCATGTGATTTTCAAGCCACCAGTTCTGGGACTTGAACTAGGCACTTGGCCATGTGTGATCCAGCATCTTAACCTCCATGCTGTCTGCTGGCCCAACTGGTGTCCTAAGGAGAAAGACACAGACATATTTAAGGTCATGTGAATACAGAGGCAGAAGCTAGAGCAGTGCAGCTACAATTCAAGAACACTGGGGATCACGGACAACTGCCAGAAGCGGAAGAGCCAACAGGACTCTTCCACACAACCTTAGGGGAGCAAGGT